AACTCACAGAGATCCGCCTGGCTCTGCCTCCCGAGTGCTGGGATTAAAGGCGTGCGCCACCACCGCCCGGCAACAATTAGTAGATTCTTAATTGTGATTAATCACAAGGCCTACCCATCAAAATATTTCTACTGTCTTTTTGCCTTTAAAAACTTACTTTGGGGTCTGAATTCTTGTGTATGATGATCTTCGCTTGCTCATGACTGCTCATCTTTAAGCAAGTCTTGCTTCAAAAGTGGAAATCGCAAATATGTACTCTTCATTAGCATGTAAGGTGTGCCCGTGAGTGAGTTATGCAGTCTTGCTGGAATCACGTAGAAGTGAAGTATCTGTCTAGTTCCAAAATCTCTAAGAAAATTTAGAAGCCAACGCCTGCCTTTTGTTCCCCTGCCTTTTAAATTTGTGATGGCTTTAAAAGCTTCTTTAGTTTTGATTGTCAGTCCCGAGCTTTGCCTAGAATTTCACAAAGAACAAAATGAAAGAAGGGAATGACAGGTGAAAGGAACCCTTCTATTTACCCCCTGTCGTATGGCTAAAGTCAAATAAATGATAGAGGCAATACTTATTCAGATAACATTAGTGAGCCAGCGGAACATGGCGGTTTCTGGACGCTGTGCCAGCCTCCAGAGCCAGGAGTATATTATGATTTAATGGTACCTCTCTGCCACATTTGATGAACTGCCCTAGAAAAACATTTTGAAGCAATAAAGCATCCATTTGGCTTCCAAGTAATGAGAGAGGCATTGCTCTTTGCATTAACTATTTATTCAGGAAGAGAAGTGACCAACTGCTAATAAGCTTTACCCAAAGAAGGTCGTTTGAAACAAGAAAATTCGAAAGTGAGGCTGTCTTCGATTTCATGTGCAATTAACAAAGAGGCAGAGCCGCGCGGTTGGTGCCCCCCTGTGCCATGTGACGGTGGGCTGGCTCTATTTAAGTGCGAGTGCCTGTCAGAAGTAGTGAAAGCTGCTGGGCTTCTGGAAGATGGTGTAGTCTAATGAGGCGGCAGTGGCTGGTGAGTGGCCCAGACGGGATCCTTTCTCTGTTGCTTGTGCGGTAGACTTGCGCGCTTAAATCAGGGGTGGTTAAGTCCACCAGTTCCCTCTTAGGGAATGGGCCCCTTTCTTCTTATAGATGATTTTTCTTCCAAATCACTCATGATATCTGCTATATATATATGGTAAGATACTTAGTTTATTAGTTGATCAAGAGTTTGGACTCAGGCAATTTTTATATTTGTTGTATAAATAGATCTCTTATTTACGATCTGAAAGTAACTTCTTGGGAGGAACGCAGTATTTTGCTGTTATCTGGCAGGCCAGAAATGGGCCCTTCTTTGCTGTGAGTGCTTAGGTTTCAGTGATCTCAAGGCAGCAGCCACGCTAGGCTATATTGATAAGCAGAATTCAGTTGGAAGCTTATTCTGAAGCACCTTTGGTGCTAAAATCGCTTGAGTTCCACTCCACTTTCTTTAAGGTTCTTAATACAGTTAATTTGCTTTTTCTCAGTGTCGTGAAAAAAAGAAATGAAAATCACAAATATTTTCTTTCCTCTTGAATTTTTATGCTGTCTCCCACTTCGCTCTGACTAAAAAGTAGTGCAATAAATTTCTACACAGTGAGAGGAAAAAGCCTTCATAGGACTCTTTCACAGGTAGTGGAAATCTCATAGTCAGTCGGTTATGAAATTTAAGACTACCTTTTCAATTTAAAACTCTTTTCCATTTTGAAAGCTCTGTGTCATTCATTACAAATTACTTTGAAGTGTATTTTAAAACCAGGTTTCAAGATGCATTCTGTACAGTAAGAATGCTTGTTTATTTGTGGGAGTCATCTTTAGAAAGAGCTAAAAGGCCTGGTTAGTAGCAACAGAGTCAGAGATGGGCCAAGAGTCCCGAGTGCCATCCTTCCCTGGAACACACTCTGTCACACGGAACGAGACTCCTCGGTGTTACAGACACCCCTCCTTCATCGAGGAAATAAAGACCCGGGAAGAGACGGAACTGCCTTGTAAGAGGCTGGGCTTTCCAAAATCCCTCTTGTTGGTTATTCATAATCACTAGACTGAATTGTTCCTTTCAGATAATCACTCCATTCAGAAGGCTGATGCTATGTGCTGAGAACAGGAAGGAGATGGAAGATTGGATCAGCTCTCTGAAGTCAGTACAGAGCAGAGAACCCTATGAGGTAAAGTACCTGTTTCATGTCCTTTGCCACAGCCCAAGCTAGCCTGTGCCGAAGGAAGTGTTGGCAGGCTTATTAGAACTTGTGTAGATCTCGTTTTTTTTTTTTTTTTTTTGCTTTGCTGTTCAGAGTAATGGGTCGATAGTTGGGTCCCCGCTGGAGAATGAATTTTGCAGATAGTCATGAGTCTCTAGCCTTGGTCTCCTGTTTGGCAACTCTGACCTAACATTTCCTTTCTAGGTGGCTCAGTTTAATGTGGAACATTTCTCAGGGATGCATAACTGGTATGCCTGCTCCCATGCCCGGCCTACCTTCTGTAACGTGTGCAGAGAGAGCCTCTCCGGAGTTACCTCCCATGGCCTGTCCTGCGAAGGTACCGTAGTGTTCCGCATTTATGCCCTACCAACAGCCGAAGTACCGTAGACACCTCATCCTGGGTACTGCATGGTCATGAAAGAAGCAGACAGACAGACTGCAGAAAAACACTGTGAGGGGCAAGGCCTGGGAGATGTGTTTATTTAAATCAAGACTTAAGTTTTCTTCTAGTTCAGTGTTGGGCTCTACACACGTGGGACTGATTTGGGGAAATACTGTTGCTCAACAGAAATCATTTGAAAGGAAGCATATGTCAAAATTCCATGTTCTCTTGAAAAAACTAGTACTATCTAAAAATCCCTTGAGCTTGGTAACATTCTAGTGTTCTTTGTTCTAATTGACTGTGGAGATGAGTGTACATTTGTTGGCAGAATTCCTAATGGTTATTTATATTGCATTATTTGAAATATTTTCCTTTACTTAAGCTTCATTTAAATGGATATTCTGTTGCTATTCCCTGCTCTGTTCTGCACGACACTGGGGATTGAACCCAGAGCTCCGTGTACATTAGGCGAACACTGTACACCATCTCATCCTCCTACTGCCAACTAAAACTTCTTTAAGATTCTTTAAAATTAAGGCCCATGTGTAACACGAATCTTAAAAGGTCTTATTAATAAAAATAAACCTGGAGCCAGGTATTGGGGTGAACACTGAAAGATCAGAGAGACAGAACAAGCCACAGCTAACCTCACCTCACCAACTTCTCAGCCGATCCTGTTTCCTCAATCTGAAAGTCTCTGATGGATCTCAGCTGCACTTGTCTGGTCCTCACGCCTTATATACCTTTCTGCTTCCTGCCATCACTTCCTGAGATGAAAGGTGTGTGCTACCATGCCTGGCTGTTTCCAGTGTGGCCTTGAACTTGCAGAGATCTGGGTGGATCTCTGCCTCCCAAGTGATAGGATTAAAGGCGTGTGCCACCATTTTCTGGCCTCTGTGTCTTCTTTCTAGTGACTGTTCTGTCCTCTGACCCCAGATAAGTTTATTAGGATGCACAATATATTGAGGGACACAGTATCACTACATCCATGCTAGTGCTTCTTTTTCTTTTCTTTTTTAAAATGCTATAATTTTAATTATCAGATGTGTGAGTTATTAATTTAGGAACTGTGAGTACCAAAGGCAGATCAGTCAATGGCTCCTAAGGGAAAGCTCGTGCCTCTTCGGTGGCGAAGAACAGAGAGTGTTGGGTATTATCTTTGAACCATGTATAGAATCGATACCAGTTGCTTCGAAAATGCAGCCGCATCTTAAGTGATTTTGAGCACTCGGAGCTAGGGTTTAAGTTAAAGTAGTGATAGAATCTCACTCCTAGTGGTTTTCAGGTGGAAAAACCTGGGATTGGCCTTGGATCAGCTGTTTACTCTGAGTCTGCGGGTCGAGATGGAGCTCTGCAATGGCACCCTCTTCCTCTCCCGCCAGTTCAGACTGTGACCGCATTTAAGACATGTAAACAGAAGTCAGACAGGCATAGACTCACTATAAAAAAATTAACACAGCACTTTTCATAATTTCTTCATTTCATTGAGAATGTTAAGTACCATCCTAGGGAGAAATTACCCTTCACAATTATTTAAATAGTATCTGAACGAAACAAGTTTAAGTGGTAATCTCAGGAAATCGATAATATCAAATGTATAAATATGGATACTTATCTTAACTACTGTTTAATATTTAGGAGGACCCAGCATGGCAAAGACTAAACATTGGAATAAAAGTCCTAATTTTACCGCAGTATTTGTGAAGTTTTGTGGTTTTAGTTAATGACATGATTAGCCATGGAACTCGCTGTTTTCCATCCCTCTCAGAAGAAATTCAGTTGCCGCCTAACAAAATGTAGGTGCAGAAAAGTCACTTGCATTTCCTGGTGACCATAGCAACAGTCTGGCTTCCCAGCACTGCTTGCGTTGCGGCTTGTTAGTCCCAAGGCCTATTTCACGCAGCATTTTATTATAAAGTGTGCTGCTTGTTTTAAACGAGCTGTTTCATTTCATGGCAGGATTTTTGAAGTAATGAAGGATTTGACATCTTATATTGCATGTCCTTGCATGGAACTCACTATATTCCAGACTGGCCTTGAACTCCTAGGCATCCACCCGCCTCCAGCTCCAGTACTGGAATTAAAGGCATGCGCCACAGGCCCAGCTCCAGCTTGTTACTCTCCCGTCCTTGTGACTGCTTCCCATGCTGTCTGATGGTTTTCTTCATGTACTTGAACTTGCAAATATTGCTGGGTGACCTTTGCCTTATGACAGGTTCAAACCATTAGTGTAAATACACAGCAGTGCAAATGCAGACCTCAGTGAATTTTCTCAAATTAAACACATCCAATCTATACCTAGATCGAGAAGTGGTATTTTACAAGTACTCTTGTTACTGGATTATTCTGAGCGTGGGTGCGTGTCTGTGTTTTTCTTTTCTGAAGAACCAATTCTCTGTGTTTGTTTAATTTCTCTTCTTAGCGGCAATCTATTATATTACATTTTAACGGCTTCATAAATATCAAGACACTTAACCTTTAAGATTTCAGTTACCGCTTCTGGAGCTTACACCTTTTCTTTGACCCTTGTTTGCCTCCTTCCACCCCCACCTCCCCTTCACCCCCCACTTCCCCTCCATCCCCCAAGTCCCCCCCTTTGAAAGTTTCATGCTCTAACTTCCTTCACGTGGAAACCCCTGACTTTTTATGATTACTTTTTTTTTTTTTTTTTAGTGTGTAAGTTCAAGGCTCACAAAAGATGTGCGGTGAGGGCAACTAATAACTGCAAATGGACCACGCTGGCCTCCATCGGGAAGGATATCATTGAGGACGAGGATGGTGTAAGCTGCTGTGGCCCCGCCCCCTTCCCTGGCAACTCTTCTCATGCCCTGCTCTTGCAGAACTTAATGGCGGAGAGTGAAACGGGGGTGTGGGTTCTTTGGGTTAGATGTCAAGTGCTCGTTGATTGTAAGTGTTGATTTTTAGTTGATGGCGTCATGGCGTTCCTCAGTTCTCTGCTTGTAGGGGAATCTGTTCTAAGTAAGACTTGGGAGGGCTTCTTGGCTGGGTTGCCGTTAAGGACCTTGGTCTGACAAACTCAGTGGTCTTCAAGCCTTAGCTGAGATGTTCGTTCTGCGGATTCTGGGCTTCCTCTCCACAGTACCCCCTTCAAACCTGGACTCCATTGTCTCTTGCCTGTGAACCCTTTAGAGGTCACTGTTTCCAAAGCCTTTGCACGCCTTTCTCCTCAGCTAGATTTCTGCTGAATCTCAGAGGGTGAGCCTTTTGTCTTCTCTTTGTATACCTTTAGGATTCAGGCATGGTAGGCGGTCCATAGGTATGGAGAAAATGAGTGATGGACTCTCAGCATACACATGACGGAGTCTGTAGAGTAGGAAGCCATTCCCCATCTTCCGCAGGATGAGGATGGCATCCTCAGGCTTCGCTCTGACCACTCTTTCCTCCTGTCCATAGGTCGCCATGCCTCACCAATGGCTTGAAGGCAACTTGCCTGTGAGTGCCAAGTGTGCGGTCTGCGACAAGACGTGCGGCAGTGTTCTCCGCCTGCAAGATTGGAAATGCCTCTGGTGTAAGACAATGGTGAGGGCTTGGAATGATTCTGTGCCTTTAAATTAGCTTCTTTTTCTAACTTGGTCTTCTATGTGCTCCAGGGGCAAAGCAAATAATTCCTGCGAAGAGCAGACCCTGGTTGTGCACACCACCCTTTTGTGACGTAATAGTGCTCATTTATGTTTTTAAAGTGTATTCCCTCTAATGTGTGACAATGACGTGTGTGCGTGCGTGTGTGCATACGCGCGCACGTTTCTCACTTCTGCCCGGGTCTTTTTTCAAATGGCCCATTTATAGTAGTTGCTTGTGTTCAGATATTTCTTACATCACAGGATCCCCTTTTCATAGCTAATTGTTTTTCTGTATTGATTTCATCACATTGTAATTTATTTTCAGTACACTCCCCCAACCACCCCCCCCAAACTACGTGGTGCCCTCAGAAAGCCCTGCCCCAGTGTGCTCCCAGGTTATCACTGATATCTGAATAATTTTGCTGCAGCCCTCCGTCTGTCCCCTGACACCAGACCAAACTCCATAGGCTACGCATTGATGCGATTGGAATTATAGGCGTGTTATATAGGTAAATATTTTTAAAAAATTTGCCTGTGAATCAAGGAGTTGATTCCCATTTCTGTCTCATTTCCGCCAGCTGTTGTAAGGACAGGGTTTCTGACTGAATGAGGACAGTCAGTGTGAGGAAGGGGTCATGTGGACAGAGCCGGGGCGGGCAGCTGTGTGCAGTTCTGCCTAGCGTTGGCTGTGTTGTTCTGAAACGGCAGCGACTGCCTTCCACTGGGGGTAGATTTGTTTGGCGGTATTTTTGAGTCTTACAGTCTTTTTCATGTTGGTGTTTTAAATTTGGAAGTTCACACACACACACACACACACACACACACTTTAAAATGGGGAAAACCCACTGCTTTTCTTAAGTGGGAAGCAGATCAGCACACAGCACAAGGGATGTGAGCCGGTGAGTCAATGGTATAATTAAGGAGACTGACTTCCGAGCAGAGCAGACCCTGCAGCGTTTCAGGCAGGTCTGATAGCTGAGCCGTGCTTCCTCCCAGCTTTTAAATTAGCCATGACTCCCTTTGTCCCGGCGCGGTGGCGTTTCTCATCGGTCTGCCTTATAAACCGTAAGTGTGTTGCTGTTCCTTCTGTTTCACTGTGGTCTCAGACCGTTCGCTTTCTGTTGCTGTGATAAAGACACCATGACCAAAATGAAGGTGGGAAGGAAAGGGTTTCTTTGGCTTAAGGGTCTATCACCATCCATCACTGATGGGAGCCAGGGCAAGAGCTTAAGAAGGGAACCCGGAGGCGGAGGAGGCTGATTCCACAGAAGAGTGCTGCTTACTGGCTTGCTCACCGTGGCTTGCTCAGCCTGTTTTCTTATACAACTCAGGACCACCAGCCCAGGGGTGCCACTTCCCACGTGCGTGCCTCCCCCC